TGTCTTATTTTAAGGGTACATTGTCTTGTTCCATTGGCAAAATGTCTCTTTTACCTCTTCAATCTAAGAACAAATGCACTTATTTTAAGAAAAAATGACTTATCTAGATTTAGATTTTTTGCAGTGCATATTCTTTAAGTTGGCCCAGGTTAGTCAGTGGGTCCAGAGGTTGAAACACCAGAGGTTTCCAGTTTGCTTTCGTCTAGATCAGGGGGCTTCAGTGTTTTCCAGGCCGAGGACCCCCAAACTGATGGAGCGGGAACCTCCTAATTATATATATTCTATGAAATTGTGTTATATCAAACTGGTCCTATGGTCACTGTGTTTGATGGAGTAATATAACAAAAGTAATTCCTTCCTGGGATTATTAAAATATTTCTGATTCTGATTCCTGGTTGATGGGACAGGTGTTGTGAATGAAACGGTGCCCAGCTTGAAAGAGTTCCTGTGTGTCGCTGAATGTGTGCATTGATGACTGAAAGACATCTTCTGCCTCCATTTATCTGTTTACTACAGTGTGTTGAATTCATTTTAATGTTATTTAAAGACATTTCAATTAGTGGCAAAAATTGCAGGGGAGAATATAAAAAAAAGTCTAATCAACCAAAAATTTTGCGACCCCATGCAGTAACTCTGTGGACCCCCTAGGGGTCACGGACCCCCTGTTGAAGACCTCCGGTTTAGATTTAAAATGTTTTGAGCCAACCACAATGGCTGTCAGGAAACCATTATATTGCAAAAACATTTTTTTATTGCATAAACATTTTGCAGTCATCTGAATAAAAGTGATGGGAGACTCTTTGCTTCCAGAATAGTTGCCACACTAGATAAACTTTAAAATTTATTGGGGGGGAGAAATTATCATAGAGCAAAAAACTAACTTGGCTTTTATTAGTCTATAAGCAAAAATTGTGTTGGCAGTTTAGCTTTTGATTTAATAAAAATAAATAAATAAATAAATATAATAAAGGTTAGAAACTGATCTTGTCATCTCTTTGATTCTTTGTATGATTTCATTTTAAACCCTGGTTTGACCGAATCAGAAAATATCAACTGATATGGATTATGTTTTCATCACCCCAGACCTAAATATTCCAATGGTTTAAATAATTCCAACCTTAACTATAGATTTGACTGAACCACTGATTTTCCTCAAGAAATTGAAAGCTACCTTCATGTGCTCCTCTGCTGTGACCACAGGTTGGCCATCTTTAAGCCAGGTAATACTAGGGGGAGGGATGCCACTGGGGATGCAGTCCAAACTGATCGGTTTGTGAAGAATCACTGAGCGATCGACAGGCCCGTTCAAACGGATAGATGGAGGAACTGCAGAAATTTATGAATTAGTTTTCAATTAATTATTTTTGAATACACCTTTTTTCACCTCAGAACTCCATATGGAGGGAAAATTGATTAAAGAAATTTATAAATTAATAAAAATGAGCCATATTTACCCAAAGACAAAGCTTTCCTGCAGCTTGTATTGTGATTTCAAAATATAAATAATCATATGAACATTTGCATAACAACAGAAATCTAGGTTGTTTTTTTTTAAGTTATAGTTTTTTTTATTTTGTACCTTGGACAGTCACATTGAAGCTCCTCTCATGGACTCCAGCCTTGTTTGTGGCCAGACACAGAAAATGAGCTGAGTCAGAGATCTGAGCGCGGGAAATAATCAGTCGTCTCCCGTTAGCTGCAATCCTCAACCCTTCTCCAGATCGGAGTCGTTTTCCATCTTTGTACCACCTGAGAATAAACAGTTGGATTTTTTTGTCGGTATGATACACATGACCATTTATGCGCATGTTGGACTGATGCCTTACATGATGGCGGGTGCAGGTGACCCGGTGGCGTGACACTCCAGCTCCAAAGGAGTGTTAATCATTACTGTGCTCTCTGTCACCACATCAGCTCCATCAATGAAAGGAGGAACTAGAATAGACATAAGAAATCTCTGTTTATTGTTTATCTATAGCAAAAGATAAGCAATAGTAAAATGTTGCAGAAGCATATATGTTTCTTCTCTTGTGATTGCTGCTCAACTGTTTGCCAGATAGAGAACATTACAGTGAAAAAGTGAATATCTCGCTTTCAAAAAAAAAACCGGCGTCAGCTCTCCTACACAAGAGTTGTCATGGCCGAGTGGTTAAGGCGATGGACTAGAAATCCATTGGGGTCTCCCCGCGCAGGTTCGAATCCTGCTGACAACGCATGCTTGCTTTTTCTCTTATCAGAATCTGCCAAGAGGAAAGTCAACAGAACATGGCTGCAATTGTTTGAGGTTTATCACGACGCAGTTGCTCTAATTCAGGCAGTTCCAGTTGCTTCAAGGCTAAAAATTCACAGAACGTGACTTAAAATTGTTAACATGGTATAAAAAACCTACATTGAATTAAGCTAGACAAACATATTAAGGTATGTTTGTATCAGAAGTATTTCTGCACTGTTAATGTGAATTGTCTACTTCTTTGTCTTATTTTAAATCACTCATCTCTTTGCCTTGGCTTTCTAAACTGTGTGAGATGTTGATTTTAGTCTGTGATAGATTATTTTAAATTACTTTTATTTTTATTTTATTATAGATTTTATAGTTCTGATTTTAATTTAGTCTTTTATGCTTGCATGGGTTTTATTATGAGTGTGTGTAATGGTATTATGTACCACTGTAAAGCACTTTGGTCCTTAGAAATTTTAAAGTACTTTATAAATAAAGCTGGATTGTATTGAATTTTAAGTCGAAAAGCAATATTTTCGGGAGTTCCTATTTTTTCAACATTCATATTTATAAACAAGGTACCCCTTTAAATTCTCTGAAATAGTCTTCTGTGAGTCACACACAGTTAATCTCTGCATTCTCAGATTTGCTCCAGTTAATCTAAAATAAATGGTGCAAATCAAATTCAAACCTATATTGAAATCTCCCCTCATTCTTTACTATTTATTTTTTTTTTAACACAACTTCAAATCAATATATACTACGTCACAAACCTACTGCTGTAAGTCACAAATGCAGCTTTACAAGTTAAAAAAACAGCAGAGGTGGAAAATAACGAAATACATTTACTCAAGTTACTGTATTGAGTAGGTTTTTGGTGTATTTTGTATTTTTCAAGTAGTTTTTAAAAGCGGTAATTTAAATTTTACTTGATTACGTTTTCATTGAAGTATTGTATTTCGTTACATTACAAATCCCATCCATTACTAAGTAAAAAAGAAAAACTTTGGAAAACTGAAAGGAAGACAAAAAAATCGGGCCCGGAAGCACTACAGCGAGTGACGTGATCAGCATGTAGATCTAGGCTACCAGGCGCCAAGTCTTTCCGTAGGAGATTGGGAACGAGATGGAGGTGGATCAGGAGAGCGACGACGGTTCAGAGAACGTTTCACTAAAAATGCCAGCTGAAACATCGAATTCTGCTGCCCAAAACCACGAAAATCCTTGGCCATATTTGAAAGACTGCTTTTCATTTACATTCAAGAGGGCCAACAGTATCATCATGCAATGCCAGATGTGTCTGCCAAAGGTGACTGAACTGGCAGCATTCAATAACTCCACATCTAATCTGCGGAAGCATGTTTTGGTAAGTATTTAGTGCATTGGTACTTCAAACTAAGTTTTCATGACTAATAGCCAATTAGCAAAACAACCTGTTTCGTGGCATTGCTAATTTTGTCTAGCACAGGAGTCGGCAACCCGCAGCTCCGGAGCAGCATGCGGCTCTTTCATCCTTATACTGCGGCTCTGAGTGGCTTGGGAAAATAAATTGCTAAAAAAAAAAAGAAGTATTTCATTTAAGTCAGCATTTCCTGCAGCACTATCTTGGCAAGGTTGGCAACAGTTTTTTTTTTTTTATGTAACTAAGTAACTTTTACTTAAAATACATTTTAAATTAGCTACTTATTACTTACTGAGTAATTTTTCTGATGGGTAATTTCACTTGTACTTGAGTAATATTTCATCCAAGTATTGGTACTTTTATTTGAGTATGATATTTTATTACTTTTTCCACCTCTGGAAAACAGTTTTTACATTTGCTATAAAAGTCATGCAGGATTTGAACAAAATTAATCTGTAACATGTGGGTAGTTAAATACAGCAGCTATGTGAATCTTTGTGGGTTACAGACATTACAGACAAACACAAATTATCCTAATCAATAAGCAAATTATCTTACCTCCTCAAATCAAGAACATATACACAAAATTTAAGGAAAAAATGGGCTAATTATATTTAAATGTTTGCACTGTATGTTTTCAGTACCGTGGCCAACACTGGCCCCTGCTGGTCAATAGGGATGATTACCAAGTAAGGAATTATTTAATATGATTAAGAGTATAATTTTAAACAGTGTTTGTTTATGCCAATATCAAAATATTTTTGTGTCTTTTTACCTAAAACTTTGACATCATATTTGACCTCCTTCTCTCCAGCAATGCTTGTAGCCACACAGATGTAACGTCCTGCATCTGACATGCTGGCTGAGAGGATTTCTAATTTCCTTCCCTGCTCTGAAAGACTGACACTTTCTCCATGACGCACGGGGACTCCGTCTTTCAGCCAGGTGAGGGAGGGTGGAGGATGACCTGCCGCCTGACACTCCAGGATCAAATGCTTACCGAGGACCACTTTCCTCTCAATGGGCTCATCCTCCACACCTGTGATGGTGGGAGGCCCTGAAGGAAATGCATAAAAAATAAGATAACAACAAGGCATTAAAACTTTGCAGACTTTCCCACTAAAACATCTCATTTATCAACCAAAGAAAAAATAAAGCAAAATAATTAAGGTGAAGCATAACTTCTGAATAAAAAAACCAAAAAATCTAAATTATTGTTAAAAGGTAAAGGGACAGTTTAGTGATGATTAACAATGATTATCAATTGGCTCCTCTTCGTCGTCGTCCTGTTAGTACGTCATATGCTTCGTTGATCTGATTGGTTTATTTGGCCCGTCTATCACCAACATAGGCCAATCAGCTAACCAGTATTTTCGCCCCTTCCCAAAATTACTTCAACGGAAGGTTTCCAGATGGATATGCGGAGCAAATCCATCTGGCGGAGTCAGGTTACGGCCCAGGGTCTTTCTGCATGGAATTTTCATGTTCTCCCTGTGCATTCCTGGGTTCTTTCCAGGTACTCCGGCTTGCTCCCACAGTCCCAAAACATTACTGTTATGTTAGAGGGCTTCTCTAAATTCTCCTTAGATGTGAGTGTGTGCCTAAATGGTTGTTTGCCCTGTGATAGACTGGCGACCTGTCCAATGTATACCTCGTCTCTCGCCCATTGACAGTAGGCACCAGGACCCCTCATGACCCCAGGAGGAATAAGCATGAGAGAAGATGGATGGATGGATAAAGGCTAGGTTCAGTTCTTATGTCCACTGATGTTGGGGTTATGGCTAAACCAACATTCCAGAGTAAAATTATCTGTTTACCTTTTATAAATGGTTTAGATGCAGTTTACAAATAAGGAACACATATTAATAATCTGCTAATCATTGATAAATGTTATTTTTTACCATTTATAAATGATGGTTATTGATTGGTTATTGCAAAAACCAACTTATTATTCCATACAATTCTTTACCATTTTGTTCCTCATTATTTCTTTCTGTACCTGCAGACAATCCGCTCTTTGCAATGTGTCTGAGGCTATTTCTTATTTTGGTAAAAAATTGCATTAATAATTAAAATAAAATACCCGAGAATAATGATAAAGTACTATATAAAATTTAAGGTAATTAAATATTACTTAATATCTCATCTCTATTTATGTTGGCTCTGATCAATTTGGGCCCACTGACTCTGAAAATGAGGAAATAAACAAAAAGCCATAAGAGATCACTTCATGCTGGCAAAGTTTTGAATCTATTTTTCTTACAGTAGGTTTTGAGTACAGAACATTTTGTCGGTGATTTTTTTAATAACTGTCGCAGGCTGTCAAAGACGGTGAGAAAAAAAACAGCAGGCAGGCATAAAAGCCCAGGTGTTCAGTATGAAATGTCCTGCTGTTGAATTTGCTGTCTGGTATTCCTAGAAGTTAGCGGAAAAACATACATGGGATCTGGTAAACCTTTTTCATTTTCATTTAAAACAGAAATTATACATAATAAAAACATAATAAATATTTGTTTTCCTTTAACTGCTTAATAAATAAATCATTGTGAGGGCCTATGTTTGTCTCCCAAAGGGTCGTTAGGTGAGAGGTTGCCAGTCAAAGAACAAAGCAACACCGAAGCACACAAATGTGCAAACACTCTGAGACTGAAGGTCAATTTAGAGGTCAAATAAACTGGAAGGAATCCAAACATGTATTGGAGAAAAAGAAGCAAACTTCACACAGAAACTACTTCTCTCCACGCATGAATTCAATATGTGACCCACCTGAGCATGCGTGTAAATACTTTTAATGTTAATGTTCGAATGAAAGGAGAAGGTTCCTTAAAACAATATTTATATAAATAGCAAAGAATCCGAAACAAATCTTACTGTAGACGTCCAGATTAAAGCTCTTCTCCGCGCTCCCAGCCAGGTTGTTAACCTTGCAGGTGTACTGTCCAGCGTCAGACGCCTGCACTCGTGGGATCTTCAGGCGGAGGCCTCTTTCTACATACTGAGCATGTCGGCCGGACATGATGGCCTCTCCTCTGCGGTACCAAGTGATGGTGGGGGGCGGCACACCACGTACCTCACACTCCAGTGTTACCGTTGTCTCCAGCAGTGCTGTCACATCCAAAGTTGTGTTGCCTCCAATGATGGCAGGAGGCACTACGGTAACGGGAATAAACGTTCTTATTATTACAATTTCTTAGACCTTAAGGCCTCAGAAACAAACAAAAAAACAGCTTATTGTAGACTTCGGATAGAGTAGAAATCAGAGGTGGAAAAAGTCCTAAAATATCATACTCAAGTAAAAGTACCAATACTTGGATGAAATATTACTCAAGTACAAGTAAAATTACCCATCAGAAAAATTACTCAAGCAAAAGTAATAAGTAGCTAATTTAAAATGTATTTTAAGTAAAGGTTACTTAGTTACATTTTTTTTTAAAAACTGTCGAAAGGGGCAGGGGATCTCTCCCATGTAGTGAAAATAGGACAAGGAGTCATAAATCCAAAACTATTTAGTTTTTAATTAAAGAAAAATCTATACAAATGTTTACACATGTAATGACAAGATAACACTTGTCAAACATGACATTTAAGACCCTTAGAAAGGTATAATGTGCAATTTTAGTTCAGACCATCCCATAAAACTTTTTCAAACAATCAATTGAAGGTAAAAGTGCCATAAATTGTTGGTTCTGAGGGCCGTCCTTCTTTTCTTCAAACATTAACAACAGTTATTAATAAGCACTATACAAATGCAATAACAACATAAAACACGCCACACATGACATTTAAGACCCTTATAAATGTATAATGTTACATTTTAGTGCAGAACATCCCATAAAATGTTTTCAATGTTTCCACATCAATTGAAAGTGGAATTGCCATGAATTGTTTATTCTGAGTGCCAACCAAAATAGAACTAAAATCTCAGTGTCAGGGACATTTCAGAAAAAATCGTCATTTTGGGCGGCAGAATTCAATGTTTCAGCTAGCATTTCTAGTGAAACGTTCTCTGAACCGTCGTCGCTCTCCTGATCCACCTCCATCTCGTTCCCAATCTCCTACAGAAAGACTTGGCGCCTGGTAGATAGATCTACATGCTGATCACGTCACTCGCTGTAGTGCTTCCGGGCCCGATTTTTTGTCTTCCTTTCGGTTTTCCAAAGTTTTTTTTTTACCCAGTAACGGGTGGGATTTGTAATGTAACGAAATACAATACTTCAATGAAAACATAATCAAGTAAAATTTAAATTACCGATTTTAAAAACTACTTGAAAAATACAAAATACACAAAAAAACCTACTCAATACAGTAACTTGAGTAAATGTATTTTGTTACTTTCCACCTCTGGTAGAAATAAGCATAGGTCCAGGGACATACATAGTCAAAAAGTGTTAATTGCCGAGAATTACAAGTACTTAGTAACAGCCTGTGATGAAAAATTGAAATCTGATTTGAACACAGATACTAACACTAATAAGATTATTATTATTTTTTTCAGTGCTGTAGCATAAATTTGGTGTCTGAAAGGATTCTTAGACTTTTCTATTGATTGTAGGTCTTCTCTATGATATGATGGTTTGGTTGTCTGTATGTTTAGTTCCAGTCAGTGTCATTTTCCTATGATGAGACCGCTACTAAATATCTTATAACCTTTTAGCGATTTGACTTTTAAATCTAACTTAGCTTAGATGAGTTGGCCCGGCTGGACATGTGCATTTACGTCTGTAAATTGATTTAACACACACTTGTCTGGGTGTTTACTGTATATGTTTGGCCAGGTTGCTGCTTCAACCATTATGGGACTAATATTTGACTATATTATTCTTAAGCAAATAGAAAGGGAAATAATTACCATAGACGCTAAGGTTGAAGTCTTTGGACTGTTTTCCAGCTGCGTTCGTGACGCTGCACTGGTAGTGACCTTGGTCTCCAAGACGAGCAGCTTTTATCCTCAACATCTGATCTCTATTGATCACTTCCAGATTTGGATCACCAAGAAACACCAACCTAAAGAGAAATAAAACCCAGATAGATGGAAAGTTTATGGTTATGCTTCCAGTTTAGGTTTCAAGGTTTACATACATTCATCATCACATTAAGTTTGAAATTCTATTGAAACATTTTAAATGCAAATTAATCGATGGAACAATCATAGAACATAAAAAGCTTTTCTAATCAAGGATTACATACATTTATACATTAATAGTGAAATAATCAGTACAGAACTCAGTATCAGTCTGTATCTATGTGTGTGATTCAGGTATGTACTCATTTTGAATTTTAAAGAAATCCACAAATAAACTTTTTTTCCCCCTTTTTTTAAACTATTATACTATAAAATAACAAATAATCTCTAATCCATTAGATGAGATAACAAATTGTACATTTAGGGGGAAAAAAACACAGAACAAAACCAATTGGTGTCACATTTCTCCCTTTTTTCCTCCCCTTCTCTTCTTTTAATCTTGGCAGTTATCTCCTGATTTTCATGCTTTGCTGCAAAAATCAAGCAGCTTTAATCACTTTTCTAAGGAACATTGTTCTAAACCAGGGGTTCCCAAAAATTTTCACCTGGGACTGCAATTATAACAGTGACACAGATTAGTGATACATACAATTATTAGAATGACATTATTCATTTTTTCATATATATTTATTTCATTATTCTAAATATACTTTTGAGTATTAGTTGGAAGTTTCATAATTAAAGTTTCCGTTCTATTATTTCATTGCATATATTTACTAATTTCATGACATATTTGCATTCATTTATTTCATAATATATCTTGGCCCTCTATACACCTCAGGGATGACAGCACAATAGTAGTGAAAATCATCTTGTTTCCCTTTACTCGGTATCCTGCAACCCCCTAGGGGGTCCTGACTACCATTATGGGAAAGTATACTCCTAAAAGTCAGAAGGCACTCACCTTCTGCCTTTGTACCACTGAATTGTGGGAAATGGTGAACCCTGCACCTTGCATTCGAGAAGGACTTCTTCTTTGACAATCGCAGAAACATCCTGAGGAAAACCAGATCCTACAATTGTTGGTGGGACTGAGAGAAAGAATAAGATCATAAATTATCTTGTGTTTGTAATTGATTGTTAGACAGATCTTTAGATGTTTAGAGTTGTTTTAATAAAATGGCAGTGTTAATTCATTTCAAGCTATGACAGATGCAGAAATTCTACTTAAGGACCTAATTTGTGAAGCATTCTTTTTTTAATCTAGGGAGCATAAATTAAAACAGTCAGCTTGATTTAAAAGCATTCACTATGCTGGCTGTGAGGACTCCTTGCTGACTTTACTTACCAAGTACGTCCAAAACAAAGATTTTTTCTCTGCTGCCTGCGATGTTAATGGCCTCACAGCTGTAGCTGCCTGCGTCAGCTGTTTCTGCCCTCAGCAGTTTCAGGGTTTTTCCCATGTCAAGAATCTGGATGCTGTTACTGGTAACAACCTGTTAATTAACATAAATACATTAAATCAAATCCAACACAATAACAGAAGGTTCAGGAAATGCTGTCTGACATTTACTGGAACACATTCTGGTAATAGCAAGCAGATCTAAAAGCATGAGAGGGAAAAGTTTTGCAGAAGTCAAAAAAGGTTTAGTTAAAGCCAAAAATAACTTAGAAAGCAGACTGATTTGGCTTAGATTCCAAAGAAAATCACAGCTCGGCCGGCTTAGATTGTTTCCCTGCCTGACAGCAAAAGAAAAGAACAAAAACATCCAAAAGCAGCCAGTATTGCAACGGTTTATTTTGATTGCTGTTTATTTTAATATTCTGAATACAATAGTCAAATGCACCTTGCATGGTCTAATTAGAGCATAAGTTTATATGAGTGTTGATGAACCAATTAGAAAACAATTTTTTTTTTGTACCCTATCATCAGTTATATAACTGTTATTTCATCCTTTTCTGAAAATGTTTCAGCACATATCCAATAATCTGTCAATTCTGTCAGCTCACCAGAGAAATATGTTTTTGGAGTACTGATGTTGCTTGCAGCACATTTCAAGTCAGATGCAAATCCATGACCCACCCTTCGTTCTCCTGGGTTTTTGAAGTTTTTTGTTTGTTCATTTGAATTATGATAGTGTTTATATAATCTCTTCATAATGAGTTTAAGGCTTGAATTGTAGAACCTAAAACCGCAATCCTCCCTCCTGGATCAGTTATGGCTTTTCACTGTCAGGACTCCTGTTTTTGTGTCTGTGTTTTCTGTGTTTTTCTCCCTTCATCCACCAGGAGGCGCCTGGTTATGGTCCGCCTCCTCACACACCTGCTGATGGTTTCCTTGTTAAACATGTTCTTAAGCTGCTGACTGCCACTACTTCGACGCCAGAGTGTTTGCCAGTTTATGGTACTCTAGCCAAGCTGAGTTTGCTGAGTCAAGCTGAGTTTTTTGTCAACCTGAGTTTAACTTTGTTTTGTTTTTGCCTCTTAGCAGGAAGTCATCCTGCAAACTGGATTTTTCGGACCTTCTCTCCCTGGAAGGATCAACGGACCTTCAAACTGAGCTGGGGTTCAAACAGGAGGTTTGGATCCACTTTCCCCAAGAGATCGTTTGAGCTTCTCACTGAGAAAGGGATTATTCTCCACAACGACCCGTTCATGTACCGCAGGAAATCTGAGTGGCAACCGCATTCTGGTTAAAACCTGTTCCGCCCTCCACCGAATCAGACAAACACTGGAACCACGACACACTGACAGGAGTCAAGGATTCAACAACTTCTCTGGAAACGTGAGTCGGCAACCAAAACCTCTTCTCCAAGTTTCACGAGTCAAATTCCCCACTGAGCCTGAACTAACCGCTGTGTCTTCCCCTCACTTTACAGTTCCGGTTGAGCTGTGTTCAGAGCAACACTTCTTCCCCTGTTTTACTTCTTCAACAAAACCCGTTAAACCTCTTCCCTGGTCTCTCTGTTCGGTTATCTGCATTATTGGGTCAGAACTTTGTAACATCATGACATTCACTTTTCACAAAGATAGCTTCCTTCACCCCTCTTTCAACGCATCTCCCCTCTCTTTCCAAAATCCGAACATTTTGGTCGCCACAGATGTGTCCATGGATCTTGAGTTGTAGGTCTAAAGCTGAATCCTGCCCAGAGCTGCTGGCTCTCCTGTGTTGTGCTATGTGATCGTGTAGTTGTTGCGTTTCTCCAATATAAGAGTCTGGACAGTCCTCGCTGCACTGGACCACATAAACAAGCCACTCAGCTTTGGTTTGGGTGCTCTGTCTTTAGGATGAACTAGTTTTTGTCTGAATGTGTTGTTGGGTTTGAAATTCACTGGTATGTTAGAGGAAATGTTCATGAGTTCCTTAGAAACTCCTGTCAGTATGAAATTACAATGATAATGATAAATCTTGTTGTTCTGTGAAGGCCTTAGAGAAGTATCAAAACCTTAGTGAGCCAACAGCCCGACCCTTCAACCGGACATTTGCACAAAAGCGACAAGAAAAGAGATATTTTAAAAAGAAAACTATTAGGAGTGCATGCACTTACAGGAGTGCCGTCTTTATACCAGGTGATGACAGGCTTTGGACTTCCCGTGACATCACACTCCAAGTCGACTGGCTCGTTTAGGATTACTGATGCGTTGCTTGGTCTGTCCCCATCACGGAAATCCGGTGGTACTGTAGTGGAATGATATAAAATGATACGTGCACTAGAAACATTCACAGGACTACTGTAAAAGGTGTTTCGCTGTAGTCTGAACTCTTATGTCTCTAAATCAGGGAAAAGATCAATCACCATTAACTTTGAGTTGGTACTTTTTCTCAGTGGACCCAGCATCATTAGCTGCAGTGCAGACATACTCTCCGTCATCCAGAGGCGAAACAGCAGCAAGTATCAGCAGAGTACCATCATCCAGGATAGACACTCCAGGCTCATTGCCTGTCAGTTCTTGACCATTACGCAACCAACGAATGACTGGCTTAGGTAGACCTGAGACATAATAGAAGATAGTTCAATTATCATTTATTCTTTATAAAAGCAAACAAGCTGCAAGTTAATATGGAATGCTTCATTCTTCTTTTTTCAGATTCTCTCAGACCAAGAATGAACTTTGAAGTTATCATGCATTTTTAAGCAACACAGAAAAACATAAGAGGGGATGGTAGAGCACCTTTGGCAGGGCAGGGGAAGGCAATGCGTTGGTTCAAAACCCTTTCCTGCAGGGGGCTGTTAAAAGGGGGTTCTGGCACCTCGACAACAGGAGGAACTGAAAGGAATCAAATAAGCATTTTACAAAGGCATAAACAATTTTAAACAGTAATAAAAATACAGTAAAGCTTAATTCTCTTTCTGTTTCCTCATATTTCCTATTGATGGCGGATTATAGTCAAGCACTTTTGAATTTCTACGCAGTTAATGGAAACAAAGTGGTAGCAACAATGCATTTTGGCATCTAGACATGTTGGCGATGGTTGCTGAACTTCATACAGTTGTGGGCAAGATTCTTAGATACCTCTAGAAGGGCACTGCTGAACGTCTCAAACCAGAACATTATAAACGTTTTAATGAACATAATGAACTACACTGGTTTTCACAGCAATCCAATCTTAGTCATATAGAGCACATTCTGTCGAGATGTGCAGCCAACAAATCTACAGAAACTATAACTATGAAGTCAGTATAGACCAGGATCTCTGGGAAACATAATAAACATCTTTTGAACACAAAATGGGGTCCAGTCTAGCAGGTTGTACCAAGAAGAGTGACCAGGGACTGTAATCTAAAGTAAATAAACCAACCTTGAACTTGAACCTTAACTTGAGCCTGGTCCTGGCCAGCAGTGTTAGTGGCTGTGCATGTGTAGATTCCTTCATCCTCACACTTGATATCCGAAAGTGTCAGACTTCCATCACGTGACACAGGATAACTTTTGTTATTTTTGGTCCAGCTGAGAGTAGGCTCTGGGACCCCTGACACCATACAACCCAGCTCTACTTTATGGCCAACCTGCACCTTTATCACCTTTGGACCTGGGTGGATTTTAGGAGGAACTGCAGGAGAGAAAACGGAGTCAAAGAAACACAAATTTAGCAATTGAGTTATGTAACACTAGAGATGTCCCAATCCAGGTTTTTGCACTTCCGATCCGATACCGATATTGTTTTTGGACTTCCGATCCGATACCGATACTGGCCGATACCAGCCTATCCGAGCATGTATTTAAGTTTAAGTTAAAGTATTTAGCCTTAGTTGTAAGACTCATGTTGAAAAGGGTTTTAGTACTCTTGATAACATCTAGCCAGCTAAATTAGGTGAGATTGAATAAAACACAATGCTTGGTAACAACAAACTTATCTGTTTATTAAGAGATAAACATAAACTGGACAAAATTATGAATAGCAATCTGAAATTGCACAGTGAGCAGTAAAACCGTAAACAGTTAAAGGTGCAAGTATTACTGTAAGTTTTAATAAAAATGCAAAACAGGGGAACACTGGCGCAAAATAGTGGAATGGATCGTTTCAATCGGCGAAACTGGAAAATACGGACCGGATTTTTTTTATAAAAACTGGATCGGCAGTCTGGATCGGCATTTTACATGCTTTGCCGATACGCATTTTTTTGCCAATATCGGCGTCCCGATCCGATACGTGGATCGGATCGGGACAAGCCTATGTAACACATTTTTTCATATTTGAAGAGGCTGAATGTAATAAGATAACTTTAAGGCCCCTTCCATTACAAAGAAAATGTATAAGACATGGAAGGGTGGTTTGCAAAATGGCTGGTGGGGCATGGATGGTTTGGGACAGCCTGGTATCAAACCAAATTAACTCTTGCTTATATCTGACTTGTAAAAAATCTTTAGTTAATACTTTATTTACCATCTTACAAGAAATATATTTTTTTTTTACGGAAAAAAAATGTAAGGGCATTTGGAAAGAAATCACCTATTCCCACCACTAGTACAAGCCTTCTACATTTTTATTTTTTTGATGCTCATTTTAGGAATAAACAGAGGCAATGAGAGATTTTTTAATCTTTTAATTTCAGCTCAACGTTTTTGGTCAAGGATCCTTCCTTCCTTGATTCATTCCTTCTTTTCTTCCTTAGATAAAACATTAATAATTCCAGAATTTCCAGAGCAGATATGTGGTGCTCTAAGTGCGTTCATCGAGTTCAGTGTGCCCGGGTCACCACCTGATGTCAAACAAAACAGCTGACAACTTCAAGCCATCAATTTTATTAGAACATCTTACAGCTGAAGGCGAGGAGGACTGTATGTAAGTTGGGTCCTTTGAATAAAAGGTCATGCTTACCGACCAGAAAAAGATCAAATCCCCACAAAAGTGTCGAGATAATGGCAGAGCACTGATTTATGGTTTGGCACTTTGGCTGCCCTTGTGCCTCCGAACTCACGCTTATAGCTTTTGCAGGGGCGACCACATTGGCTGTGTCTTCATGATGGTTTGCATTCACTCATTTTACAGGTAAGTTGAGACGGGTCACAGGTGGAGGCATAGTAGCTGTGCTAAGTTGGGGTAAGTATTTCATTGTTTAGACTGACTGGCTTGCTAGGAAACACTAGCTGACCTTGTGGGTCTTGGCCAATATTGGCGTCATTGTTGGGATCTGGAGCTGTACCACCTTCCTCCAGCAGAGTGCGCCGTGGGTCTCCTGGAGCTGGAG